AGGTTCTATAATAATTTAGTATCAGTGTATCTCGGAAAGGAAATCCAATGTAGTTGAGTCTTTTAGAAGAAAAGGGGGGTATACGTCACAGGACGTTCCGGAAAAGAGGCGAATCGCAAACCTTTCCATTCCTTCCTTTCTCTCTGTTTCTCTCTCTTTCTCTCAGCCCCTTTTCTCTTGTTGCGCGCGCGAGCGGAAGCTCGATATGCGAAGCTGTACTGCTGACATCACCTTAAATAGGTCATTGATTGACCTATCCCCAGGCGAACCTTACCATGCGCGCGTGATTACCACCTTCTACTGTTGCACGGTTTCTCCTTCACTTCTCCCACTCTCTCATTCTCTTTTACTCTTTTTCTTTTACTCTTCCTCTTTTTTTTTACTACTACATATACCTACTCCTACCATCCTTGACGTTTTAGTCTCGCTTCAATCTCTCTTTCTCTTTTTCTGCTCCTTTATTTCAACCCTCTCTTATTTCTTTTCATTCCTCACGTTCCTTCTATCCTTATAAATACACACACACACACATATACTAATATATATATATATATATATATATTAGTGTTCATCTGTAGAAGGTAACCGTGCCGCGCGTTTGTACGTGACCGTTTGTGCGCGAAATTACAGACAGGGGTAGGTAACGGTAAGGGACGCACGTGGTTTGCGGGCAAAGTTTAGTCAGTACACCCAGGATCGGGGAGCAACAAGCGCTAGCAGAAAGATTCTACTACCCCCATTGTCCGCCTGCACACAATGGGTGACTGCGAATGCGGGCCAAGCATTTCGCGATTCGTCGCGTCTTTTATTCGCTTTTTCTTCTTCCCTTTTCTTCTTTTTTTCCTGTTTTTCCCCTTTTTTTCTTCCCCTACATCCCCTTTCTCCTTTTAATTTTTTATTTTTTTGCCTTGGTTCTTTCCTCACCGTCTACCCCTTCCTTTAATTTTTTTCTTTTTAATTCAATTTTTTTTCTTTTAGATTCGTGTGCGCCGATATTCGCAACTTTTCCTTCCCTCGTAGTAGTCAATAAAACCCCTTACTAGCTTTGGCAGCAAAGGCGATTGGAAAAACGAAGAATAATAATTAAAGAACTAGCCGGGGTTCCAATCTTGGCGGCGAAGTTCGGATACCGGAAGCTTTAGTCGATTGAAACAATTTGCCCGTTAGTACTCCCGTCGTCAGCTTGATTGTCTATTAAGCTTCGCGTTAAATGAACGAAAACGTGGCGGCATCGATAAGAGAGAGAGAAAGAGATAGAAAGACACGGACACCTCTATCTATCTATCTATCTATCTATCTATCTATCTATCTATCTATCTATCTATCTATCTAGGTTTCTAGTAGGTGATGTAACCAATTGATTTTGTTTCTTTTGTTTTTCTTTTCTTTTCTTCTTTTACCCTTGATCTATGTTTTTTATTTTATTTTATTCTTTTGATTTTCTTTATATCCGTCCTGTTGCAAGTAAAAAACAGAAAAAAGTTAGACATCAAAGTTCTTACTACTTGTTTAGTACCAGTATCTATTTGAATAAACTTTTGAAGTATCGTAAATTTTATATCTAACGTTATCTAATCTTTTCCATCGTTTTATCTCGTAAAAAACTTGATATCGTTTTATGTGTCGGAAAGATTTGCCGATTTTCTATGCCCCCTTATGATGAGAGGTATAGAAATGTACCGCCGAGACAAATCGATTGATAGATCGATCGATGGAAGGTCGTAGTGTCAGATAATAATTAGACGAGTTACCAGCAGTAGAACCCTAAATTGGACGTTACGAATACATATATGGAAATGGGTGTGCATGGTTTACCAGAATTATCGTTACATTGTCTTATCGAGTGTGTGTTCTCCTAGCCGATAAATTTAATTCGATTAAAATACGCTTCGATCGTATCGTCAATTTTCTCTATATAACGTTCAACCATACTACCAAACCCCATATTGTATCTATACCTATATCGAAGCTTTTAATCTCCCCTCGTAGAAATGAAAAGGGACGTTTTCAAAGAAATCGTCGTTTTGCGGTTAAATGACTACTAACGGTTTATTGCGTATAGATACGAGTTAGAACAATATACTATCTTTCTTTCACTCCCTTTCTCTTTAATGTAAATCGCTTATGGGTCGCGCGGGTTACACAATCGTTAAATATTTGAGAAGCGAGGTCCGAAGCGAAAAAGTCGATAGAACGTACGTTCGTAGTACGTATACACATACGTACACGTATACGTATATATTTGTGTAAACGTATGTACGTTTGTGTACGAACAAATATGTACTTTTTGTTCGTAATACATTCTCTCTCTCTCTCTCTTTCTCTCTGGTTATTTATGAACCACCACCCCATGTCTGATTTGACTTTTAAGAAAACGTGTAAAGCGTGAGAAAAGGGAGAGGAAGTTTCAAGCTAACACGAAATTTCGGGAAAAGTTAAATAGGGCGACGTATCGTCGCGACCGAAACGCGTTTGGAAGAGACCAGAGGAATATGAAATAACGTCTCTTATATTCAATAGAAATATCTCTGTACCTACGTATCTAGACGTTTCATATATTTCGTCCTACGTTCGAAGGATTTGATCCGAGGTTGGGCTGCCTCTATTTCGAATCATCTTGCGTGATTGATTTTGTTCAACAGGATCTCGACGTGTATTCTATATGAACATGTTCTTCTACTTTCTGTATGTGTGTGTATGTGTGTGTACGTGTTATCCTATATTTTTTTTCTTCTTTTTTTTTTTTATCACGTCTTATCGCAGACCACATTTCTATCGGACGTTGTAGAATTTGGTGGGTTTAACTGGGTCAGTTGAAATTTCTAATCTACCTTTAACCCTCCCTCTTTGAGTACTACGAAAGCATATACGCGTCTAGCTAAAGTTATCTCTCTGTGTTGACTAAAAATATATGTTTTATTTTTTTTCTTACTTATTAATTACGCCTTGCATATTCAACAACGTAGTTCGGTATTATAACACCAAAGAGTATTTCGTTTTCAACGATTGCAATTGTTAGTTGGCGGAGAACATTCATCAATCACAAAAATTAATACCGTACAACACTTGGAAATATTTTTAATTATCGTATAAATTGTATTATTTTTGTTTTTCTATTAAGACGTACGATTTAAAGGTACGTTGGTGATATTGTTCGTTGAAATCGTTCGTTTCACTTTAAGAACTCTTTCTATATTTTTATTCCAATGAAAACCGATAAAAGGAATTGCTTTTTTTATTTCTTTTATTTATATTTTGTTCATTCGTTCGTCGTTGTCGTTGATAATGCGTTGATCGTTTCACTCGTAATAATTCATCCTAGCATTCGAATACTTTATTCGTTTCTCTCGAATGCGTTTAGATTCGATTATCGAAATGACTTACTACTCTGTTAATCGCTTTGAGAGAGAGAAATATTCTATATAATCGTGTTATTTTTTTCAATATAACTAGATAGGTTA